AAGGTAGGAATACCATTTCTTTCCTTGTCTGTCTTTTAAACTTAGAGCGTGGAGATGTGACCATGTCTCCCAGATTCTGGCCCTTCTGCATTGACTTCCTGTTTGCTTCTATGGCAGATTCAAAGTGCTAGTCCTTAACTTATCAAGCCCTTAACAGTTTGGGATCTCACTACCTGTTAGTGCAGCTTTCCTTAAGATTGTCTACCTGGGCTTCTCAAGCTTTGCAGTTATGGCTGGTCACCCCAAGTGAGGCAGAAATCTACCACCAGGAACCAGGTGTTTTCTGTGGTGGCTGCAATGTTGTGGAATGTGTTGCCTGTGGGTATGCATCAGACTCCCCCTGCTCTTGGCCTTCGGGGAATGTGTAAAACCCATATTTGGATTTAGTTTACTGTTGTCTTTGGGGAGTTTCTCCCCCCCACACACACACATTTTTATGATTTGGATGTTTTCTGTTGGCGGGTGGGCGCCTAGGCATGTGTTTATGTGTTGTGAGCTGCTCGGAGTAGTCGCTTGCCACTTAATAGGCAGGAAATTAAATAAATAAATACTCAGGTTCACTGCCAAAGAAGCTGCAGTCCTGCCCCCATGTGGTTATTTCTCCAGAGAGACTCTGGGTGGCTCTACATGGCCTCCAAGACATTCTAAGAAAATCAACATGCTTGGTGCAGCTGCAGTTTCTGCAGAAGGACACCTTAAAAGACAGAGAAGGAAAAGATGCTGTAGCCTGGTGGGGAGAGGAGGAGAATTAATGGGTACAGGTGAGGGCGCAAACAGGGAGGAGGAAGAGCATCCAGAAGAACTGAGAAAATCTATTGCTTTGTATTTTATTGTTTGTTAATCCAATATCTGTTTGATCTGTATCAAATATTGCTACAGCTTAATAAAGCAAAGTGTGCTGCTTATATAGCACTTAAAGCCCTCTTTGGGCAGTTTACAATTTAATTATGAAGACTACACATCCCGACCTCACCCCACTCCAACAACTGGGTATTCATTTTACAGACTTCAGAAGGATGGAAGGCTGAGTCAACTTTGAGCCAGAAACATGTCAAGAACTTTTATGCTAAAAGTGTGGGGGACTTTTCTGTTAAGAATTTGTAATGAAGTGTATTGAGGGTTTAGGAAAGCATTTATTCATGCTGGTCAGCAGAGACAGCCATATATACAACAGCAATGGATGTAAGGACAATCTATTGAACCAAAGATAGTACATACCTGTGTTTCCCCAAAAATAAGACAGGGTTTTGTATTAATTTTTGCTCCAAAAATGCATTAGGGATTATTTTCAGGGGATGTTTTATTTTATTTTTTATGTATAACAGTCTTGTTGTTGTTTAGGCATTAAGTCGTGTCCGACTTTTCGTGACCCCATGGACCAGAGCACGCCTCCTGTCTTCCACTGCCTCCCGGAGTTGTGTCAAATTCATGTTGGTTGCTTCGATGACACTGTCCATCCATCTCATCCTCTGTCGTCCCCTTCTCCTCTTGCTGTCACACTTTCCCAACATCAGGGTGAAACAATCTACATTTATTCAAATACAGTCATGTCATCTTGTGGTTGCTGAACAATGGTGGAGACTTAACTGGAACTTATTTTGGGATAGTGCTTATATTATGAGCATCATGAAAAGTCATACTAGGGCTTATTTTCAGGAAAACAGGGTAGCTGTATGGGAAACACACAAAGGGCTATAATATAAGTAATTTACATTGGTATTCCTTTCAAGTTCTTTCCTAAAGGAAAACATTCCTTTCAGGCATCTTTTAGTATCTGCTTGTCTGTCCTAAATGATAAATTATTTCTTCCAGGAGATTTGAAAGGAAGTTTTTGTTTGTTTTATGACACTAGAGGTAAACCAAGGGAAAGTACAGGTCTCTAAGTATTTCAGACAATGGGTCTATATACTGGGCTTTGCTATACGTAAGAAATACATTGACTATATGTTTATATAATTGCTAAATCCTAATATATATGGTTATACAGTGCTACCTCGCTAGATGATTACTCCGCAAAACGATGACTGCGCATGATGATGAGGTTTTGCAATCAGCATTGCACTTCGCAAAACAGTGTTTCCTATGGGCGATTTTTGCTGGATGATGTTTCGGTCCATGCTTCGCAAGACGGGTTGTTTTTTTTCCGGGACCAATGCTTCGCAAGACGACGATTTTTACAGCTGATCGGCAGCTCCAGAAAATGGCTTCCCTATGGGCGATCTTCATAAAATGAGTGTTTTTGGGACCGATGCTCCACAAGACAGCGATTTTTACAGCTGATCAGCACTTCGCAAAATGGCTTCCCTATCGGCGATTTTCGCAAAACGACAACTATTTTCCCCATTGGAACGCATTAAATGGATTTCAATGCATTCCAATGGGAAAACACTTTTCGCAAGATGATGTTTTCGCTGAATGGAACGGATTAGCATCGTCTTGCGGGGGCACCACTGTATTTCAGAGGCGCAATGAGGGGAATCTTCTCAAACTCGTTGAGATGAAACTTAGGTCAAGAGCTGAGTCTTGGTTTAAGTACTGTAGTTTAACCACTGTGTGACATGGCTCTTATAATTCATTAAAGCTGCAGTCACACAAGAGAAAGGCCACCCTTTTTTCTTGCATCTCTTGCTTTCTATATAGTCGCATATTGTGGTCATGTGGCATATATCCTGTGATAGTTGTTCTGTGAATTTCATTGTCCCTTCTTTCTCACATCTTCTGCTTCCTGTATAGTTATGCATTGTGGTCTCTTGGCATATATCCTGTGACAGTGTTCCATTCCACTTTTTTATTTTTTTGGGTGAATTAGATGTGGTACATTCATCTGTATCCCTAGAGTGGGACATATCCCCTTCCTTTTCTTGCACCTTTCTCTGCCCCCTTTCCTTTTTAAAAAAAATTGTGTGGGTACATTAATGCGTCAGCAAAACACCCTTGCTGAACACGTACTGATCTGGGCCATTTCTTCCTATTTCCATGTTTCGTTACCCACTCTGGAGGAGAACTCACAGCACACTGTAGTGGTGGTCAAAAGACAGTAGGGGGACTAATGCTCTGTATTTGACAGAAGTCTGCCAACCATTCCAGTTTGAAAATTAATTAAAAAACAAAATTAAGGGAATTGAATGGCAGCCCGTGAGGGAGGTGGGACTGCATGCCAGATGCATAGGAAATGAATCAGCTTTAGAGTACACACTCAATGGGATGTTTTACTGTGTGATGAAATGCAGAACAAACATAGTCCATAGCCTCCCAGTGGGCTGGATTTGATGCGGAGATAGCATGGAGGGGAAACAAAAGAATCGATAATGGCTTTGCGTCACCTGAACAGCCCCGAAAAAAGGGCTGAAACTCACAAGGAGTAATGTGGAAATATTTTGCTGGTGTAACTGCAGCCTCAGTTCACTTTTTCTGGGTACTTTCTACAACCATATTGGATAACCTGCCAAAATATGGTTTGGACAGGAGGCTTTGTGACTGGCAGACATTTTACAGTGCAGTATAGTTCTTCCATAACATGAGACTGAAAATTGTGTACTATAGAACTGTTTGAAAGTAACAGTTGGTATCTGTGACAGATACGTCAGATAGATCTCACCTATGAAAATGTACACTTCCAAACATTTGAATATAAATAATGCTGTTCATGTTGGAAAGCATGAGAAGTCTGTTCTCCCACATAGGTTAGATGACTAAGATCCTGGATTTAGTCATTCCAGATATTACTCACAAATTGATCCCCCCTTCATCTTTCTAAATTGTCTGTTCACATGTTTAACACTAGACTTCCCCTGGCAGAACAATGAAACTGAACAGAATCAGAAGGAGAGACCCTCTCTTTCCCCCTGTAGTTGTCTACAAGCCTAATACCTGCTCTGGAGGGCTAGAACAACCCTCTGGGTTTTCAGGAAAAGTTAAGTTTTAGTTTACATGCTGAATGTTTAACATAGATGCAGGTTCTCTGGACAGATAATATAGTAGAAGTCATAACAATAGTAGTATTTAAAATAAAAACCGAGCAAATTGAGAACAGACAAATACAGCAGCACTCCATTCAAAAACCAGTAAAATCAAAACTGCTCTACATAAAAAATACCATCATATAGTGGGTTTTTAAAACTCAGTCACACAGAAGTGTTTTTGCTTGATGACTGCCTTCCTTGGTGTGGAACCACCACCGTCAAGATCATGCAGGGCCATGTGAAGCTCTTTGTCAAACTGATTTACCTTTCAGCTAACCAGTTACACTACAGCTCTGTATCCAGATTATGATTTACAAAAAGAATGGCATTTTTGGTTGTAGATGGAAAGGACAGATCGAGTTGAGTATCATCAGCATACTGATGACACTGAACCCCCCCCCATACAGGCAGACAGCCACTCCTAGTAGTTTCAGTTATATAGTATGCTCCATTCTGAAATGCTGTGAAGGGTTTTAGAATATGAAGCTGCAAAACGGTAAAATTAAATTTGACCAAATTGAGGTACCATTTTAAACCTAAAATGCAGAACTTTTCTAATATTTGATAGCTACTGTTTCAAACCACTGGAAAATTTAAGGCACTCCCTAAAAAATTCTAGCTTTAAATGAAATAATACTTCATAAAAATGTAAGTGCCGTGAAGCTTTTCCGTTAACATTTAAGTTGAGAATTGTTGTAGCTCTCAATGAAGAAAGCCTATAAGTTAGCCATTGGAGTGGGGGTATCTTGTGATGTATAATCACCTGATACAAAGAATTTGTTTCTTGAAAATCTTCATTGAGCTCTATGAGCTAATAAAGTAATTTATGTGTGTCATAATAAAACTAGTGTGGTGCATTCTGTTGTGCTAAAGTTTCATTATGGAATACTCAGGTTCGCTTCACATGACATGAACTGGTTATAACAATAAAATAAAAATGTACAAGGCAGGGAAGAACATATATCATTACATGTAATGGTGACGCTTTTTAAAGAAAATGCAAGGGTCTTTTTAATCAATTTTTATTTCCTTCTTAAGATAAAGATACAGATATCACTGTAAAGGATAATACAGATGATACCAGTCTGCGGGATACGTTAAGCATTGGATCAACTGATTCATTTGTTTCAGCTGCTGAGGTATGTTGAGTCAACATGTTTCTACTTTATTGTATCTCTGTCATACCACTGACTTCTCTTAATTGATTCTCAGTAGTTTCTATTGGAGAGTGTTTCTCTTAGACTGGGATGTTCTAGGAAAATGCACAGAAGCTGAAGGGAGTCTTCAGTTTGGATGTAGCTTTTTGGCACTTAAACATTGTGTAGATGTGTTGCTGGATAGCTTATAGTTTATGTATCTAGCTGCAGAGCCAGAGGTTGGGAGTTCGATTCCCCACTGTGCCTCCTTGACAGGAGCTGGACTTGATGATCCATAGGGTCCCTTCCAGCTCTGCAGTTCAAAGGTGATTATTATTATATGCTGTTTTAAAAGTGTAAATGCATCAAATGTCATGGAATATTCATTGGCACGAAAACAGCATGCTTTTTCCTCCATGTAGGAAGCCTGTAATGAATGAATTATCAATAAAGTGACAAGTCTATGAGCATTCACATAAATTAATTGGAAAACCAGAAGGATTGTTTTTAGGTATGGTGGTAACCTCTTAAATACATGTATCCCAAAAAGTATGACAATTTTTTGAAACCCAGGGGCATCATGCTACTGCAGTTTGTAGTCTGTATCTGACTTAAAAAATATATTTTTAGTCGGGGACAGCTGCATGATGGATTTCATCTGCCACTTAGTCTGTAACATCAGTGCCTAGATTTACTTGCCAGATGACAGAGGGGGAAGTATCTTAAGGATCAAGTTACTTTTTATTCCACCTAAGAAGCATTGTGTTCTTTTTGATTTTGTCAATTTTCTGTTTGATTCATTGAAGAGCGTCCTAGATCTAGGAGAGAAACTCTTCATAAGAGGAATGCTGGACTGAGACCTGGGTTTTTCAGTTTTTGCTGTGCAAATTTCAAGGCCAGCTGATCAGATCTGAGATAGGAGGAGTTCATGTGTAACAACAGGCAGCAAATTAAGCATGCTTCAGTGAAAACAATGGCACAATTTTCCTTTTGTGTGATACTGCTTAACAAATGTAGAAACAGTTGGTTTTTGTAGAGGGAACATGATAGATACCCATTGGAAATGGGGGAAAACCCCAAAAAGCAAGGAAACCCCTCAAGACCCATTGGAAATGGGGGGAAATCCAAAAAGCAAGGAAACTCCTCAAGACCCATCAGAAATGGGGGGAAAACCCCAAAAGCAAGGAAACCCCCCAAGACCCATCGGAAATGGAGGAAAAAACAAAAAAACAAAAAAAACCCCAAAACCCATTGGAAATGGGAAAAAATACAAAAAAATAAACCCCCCAAGACCCATCACAGCACAGAAACATAACCCCCCCAGCCCAAAACCATGCTGCAAAACCCACCCAGAACATTTTTTAAAAGCAGAAAGCGGCACCTTACTAGGCAGTCTGAAGCCACCTCCGATCGCACTCACTGTTTTGGGGCAAAAGAGCTACAAAGAAGCAGCCTCTTTGCCTACCAACGGTTAGCAATTTGAATTTCCCGCCTTTTCCCCCTGTCATTTTCTGTTCGTAACTGGAAACTCTGGCTGCAAGTCGAAGCAAAATTGTGTGGGCGGAGCTGGTCGTAACTTGAAATGGTTGTAAGTCAAGACGTTCGTAAGTCGAGGCACCACTGTACTTCCTAAACGTAAAGATAGACGCAAATGGAGTTTGCCATTGAACTCATACATTTCTGAAATTTGTGATGCCATTTGTAAAAAGCACACAAAAATATACTCTTGAAACAATGCATTAAAAAGTGCTGCACTGAAAAAAAGCTTGAAAAGAAGCACACAAAAATGCAGACTTCAAAAATGTTTTTTTAAAGGTCCATACAAATGTGTACAAATATTTGCACAGATCTTTTAAAAGAGGGGGTCAAGCAACATTGAGATAGATAGACTTGCCTGTCCCTACCGTGTGGTTGTTTTCCTTCTGTAAGATCTACTTCCAGAAGATAGTTTGTATTGTGAACTTTATAATTACAAGATTGAACTTGATGTACAGTGGATGTAGCACGCTACAGTGGTGCCTTGCTAGACAATGATAATCCGTTCCACTGAAATCGTTGTTTAGCTAAATCGTTGTCTAGCAAAAAGCATTTCCCTATTGTTATGCATTGAAGCCTGTTTAATGCGTTCCAATGGGGAAGAATCATCGTTGTCTAGTGAAGATCGGCCATAGGAAAGCTGCTTTGCGAACCGCCGATCAGCTGTTTAAATAGCTGTCTTGCGAAGCTTAGGTCCTGAAAACACCCGTTTTGCGAGCGCGGAGGGAGCTGTCAAAATCGTTGTCTAGCGAAAATCGGTTTGCGAAGCAGGGACCAAACATTGTCCAGCGAATTTCCCCCATAGGAATCACTGTTTTGCGAATCGCTATAGCGATCAGAAAAAGTCAATGTCTAGCGAAAAAACTGTCATGCGGGGTAACTGTCTAGCGAGGCACCACTGTACTCAGAAAGTCTGGGATTGTTACAACCTTCCTTTCCCAAGTACCCCGTTTCTGTCAGCAACATGACTTTAAAGTACATGAGTGCAAAAACATCCAGTACATGTGAATCACTCTATAAATAATTTGTATTAATGCTGCTACTGGTGGATCTAAGAGCAAAACCCAAATAAAGAAATGAGAGCCAGGCTGAGTCAGAGGTCTGTCTAATCCAAAACCCTTTGCCAGCTGCTGATGGGGAGTCTGCCAGCTGTACAAGACTAAGAGATTAACATAAGTGATTTTTTTCATTAGATTAGCATACATAGATAGGATAGAATATTAACTTTGGAAAGACACATCTTGAGACACTCAGAGTTCCCCAAGAAACCACTGAATCTCAAGGAGAGTGTTCTGCAGTGTCCTGCTTTTGGAGTGGCATTATAAAACCAGTAACAACTGTGGTTTTACTTTTGTTCTCTGCAGCCTTAAATAATCTTCCTTTATGAGTATTTTTCTTGCTGTGCAGTAAGTGGCTAGGCTACACTGGGAATTAGGGTTGTTCTGGCTTTTTGATTTAATCTGTGCCAGCAGGATATACAGTATGCAGTCTCTTGTGTTTCTTGCTGATGTCCAAGAACTTCATTGCCCTGTTTGGGAATGCTTCAGTTCCTTTTCTTTCTGCTTTTAATCGCTCCTTTGGTAAAAAAAAATTAGAAGATCACAAGTAAATTATCCTGGCTCCCTCTTGCATGACTTCGCTCAGCTTTTCTGGAATGTGTCACAAAAGCAGTTGGGCATTCTTAACAACTCAGCTGTTGTTGCAGGCTGGCAATCCTGTGACCCAGCATGTCACTGTAGCTTGTTATTTGTTTTGGTACTGTCTATTGCTGTAACTTAAAGTGATGTTGAAAAGGAGTTGTCTATTAAATACCCCATTGTCAGGTTGTTACCAATCTTGAAAAATGTTCAATTTCTAGCTTGCAGAACACAAAGAGAGCCGAAACCCTTACCATTTGGATTCGCTTTGCCATTACCCATTATACGAAGAAGCTCTGTATTTGGCAGAAGAGGGCAAAATTTATTCACGAGTCTTACGGTACTGTTTGCTTCTCTTAATACTACGTACTGTACAAATATTCTTAAATGTAAATAGAGCTTGTGTTTCTCTTTTATGCTTGAACTAAAGCCCATGTCTGAACTATTTCCAGTCTTGTTCAAGCCAAAGTGCAATTCAAATGGTCTAAATCATTTGATGTTTTTGTATGTAGGACTGAAACGTTGGAGTGCTTGGGGGATACTGATTTTCTGGCCAAACTCCACTGTATCCGACAAGCCTTTCAGGTAGGAATTCAATTATTTAAAGTAATGTTTCTCTATCTTGGATCATCATTTTTTCACCTACAATATGCACTGCCACAAGGTGACCATTGGCCATACTGAGTGGGATGTCAACTGATACCAGGCTTGAGTGTGGGAGAAGGTGGTCCAGAATATACTTTTTCTGAGCTCTGTATTATGTAACAGTAAAACTGCTGGGATGGGAGGATATTGTAGGATTATAATTGGGGCCAATCCAGCTGTATAAAATATCAGGAAAGGGTGTGCCAATTATATTGTTGTAGTTGTGGCTTTTTTGGACCAAGTCCCAAGATTTTTCTAGAATTCCCCAGATAGAATTGTGGGAGTTCCTACCCGCAGACACCTTCACACACAAAAAAGAAGCCTGTTCCAGAGAAATGTAGGTGGGTGAAAATGTCTGTAGGTGTTTGTCTTTGAGCAGGAACTCCCAGGATTCTGCTTGAGGGATTTTTGGAGAATTATGGGAATTAGATCTAAAAAACCCAAAAAACAACAACCCATTTCTGTAGCAGGCTCGTAAGCTTTTTACAAAGGTTGTGCCATGCACCTCTCTGATGGCATGGAACACGTTTTCAGGTAACAGAATATATTGTTGCATCGCTAGGGAACTGAACACCTTCCTTTTAAACCTCATGATTACTTATGCCTTCTAATTATACCTAATCCGTAGCTCAGTTACAATGTCAACTCATAAAACTATTTTTTTTTGCAAGAATGATTTGCATAGGATTGGATTCCCAGAATATGTATACTGCATGTCTTCTAAAAAGACATTGATTCTGTATGTGTATTCTGTGCTACAGGGCCTACAAATTTAGCTTGATGGAAAACTTAGCCATTATTTATAGTCCATCATTAGTAATGGTTGACCTCCCCTCACAGTTCAGTACTAATTAGCTCAGTCTTTTAGAACTTTCTCTCAGATAACTTTTGCAGCAATTTTAAAAAATGATCCAGCATTCTCCACAAGAGGTGTAAAATGTCATCATACCTTCCAGTCCCTTCCTTTCCCCAGCAAATTTGCTTTTTAAAGTATGGAAAGAATCAACAGCAGCAGCTGTACAGGTTTCCAACACCACCATCTCTAAGGCCTCCCCACTGATGGCCAGTTCTTCCTGCCATTTACAAAATAAAATTTTAAAACCACCTTAGAATAAAGTATATTTACAGAGGCAATTGGTTGGGAGTGATCTCTAGTATCATATGGACCAAATTGTAGGTGACCTTTTGCTTCTGGTGGGTTCCAGTGTGGAACAGGGATTTGAAATGTTTAGTTTTTTTAATGCCTGATGATTCTTTACAGGTGATCCTTTCAGATGCTGCAAATCGAACATTTCTTGCAGAAAGTGGCAGGAAAATTTTGTGTGCGTTAATTGAGAGATCAAAAAAGGTGAACTTCATTTATTAACAGATGCAGTATATTTTATCATGTGGTAAATGCAATGTGATACCCAGCATGGTGTAGTACAGTTGTTCTCAAACTTGGATCTCCAGATGTTCTTGGACTGCTACTTCCAGAAATTCTGGCCAGCACAGCTAACAGTGAAGGCTTCTGAGAACAGCAGTCCAAGAACATCTGGGGACCCCAGTTTGAGAACCAACAGTGTAGTGGATAGAATGATAGACTAGAACTCAGGAGGATTCAAATCTGAACTCAGCCATGGAGATTCACAGAGGGTATGGAGCTGGTAAAATCAATCCTTAAAATATCTCACTTAGCTTGACAGCCCTGTTAGGGTCACTAGACATTGGTTCCGACTTGATGGCACATAACAAGATATTTAATGTGGAAGACGTCATAGATGTTGTCAGTGGTTACTCTCAGGCTTTGGAATGCACTTCTTCAAGAAGGCAAGGTGCCCTCCCCCAGTCCTGTCATTAGCAAAGACTTTCTTTTTCAAGCATCCTTTTAAGCAATAAGTGGGAGTCCCCACAATGCTGTATTTATTAACTGTAGAGATTTTGAAATGTTTTTAAAAATGTTTTAAAATTTGTTTTTAATAATGGTTTTAATATTGACAGATGTTTTATTGTTTTTAGTATAGTTTTTTAATGACAGTTTTAAGTCTGTGATAGTTCTCATTGTTGTGAGCTGCCTTGGGTCCCCTGTGGGGGGGAAAGGTGGCATATAAACAAGCAAACTTAAGATAAGAAACAAATACAGAGATTTTTCATTTGGAGAACTGAATATTAGAGATAGTGGTCTGTGTAAGAAGAAGAGTGTGCCAGATATGTTCTATAATAGTTTCTAAACATGGATTTTGATATTACCAATGCAAAAAGACACTTAAACACATAGTGAATGTTGTTTTAACTGAAATATAGAGTTCCACAGGTATAGTGACTGGGATGTCTAAAGCACATTGCAGTTAGGCTCATAGAGGTGCGTCAAGACCATTTGCAGAGGACCATCATATACACATCGGAGTGCATGTAAGGCATTGTACAACAGCTAGTCTCTTGCATTAGATTATTCATTGTGTATCAAATGAAAATCATCTACTATTTGAATTTAAGTACAAGGAAGAATTATACATAACCTGCCTCCTACTTGTATTTATTTCACAGAACCCCAAAAAATTCGAGGAAGTATTTGATGAAATGATCTTCTTTTTAGAACAGATAGATCATTGGGCTAATACTGAAATGGAGCTTGCTGCTTGTGGAGTAAGTACATTGTGTCACTGGATGGCAATTAAGTGGCTTGTACACGTTATTTGCTGTGCTCTGGCCAGACTGTAATTTCCCTGTTGGTCCTTATTCTGTCAATCTTGCTATGTAGCCATTCTGTCATTTGTAATGAGTTTGCTCTGTTTAAATGGGTTCATATTTAATGTCCACATTATATATGTTAATACATATAATTATATAGTATTTGTATAAATATATAACTGTTACAGTGGTGCCTCGCTTAACGAGCGCACCGTTTAACAACGAATCCGCATAGCGATGCATTTTTTGCGATCGCTAATGCGATTGCATCGCGATGTTTTAATAGGCAAAACATCGCATTGCGATGATAGGTAAGCGTTTCACTTACCGATCTTCGCATTGCGATGTTTTGGGAACAGCTGATCGGCCGTTCCAAAATGGCCGCCGGGTGCAGAAAATGGCCACCCGCAGCGTTTTCGCATCCTGCCCTCGCTTACCGGGCAGAGAAAATGGCGGCCTGATGGAGGATTCCCCACATAGTGGTGAGTTTTTCCCCAATAGGAACGCATTAAACTGAGTTTAATGCATTTCTGTGGGTTCCCCCCCCCACATAGCGACGAATCCGGATAGCAACATTAATCCTGGAATGGATTAACGTCGCTATGCAGGGCACCACTGTATTTTAAATTACTGTGGCAAGCTGCCTTGGATTGTTCAAGGGAGAAAGGCAGGATATAAATTAAATAAATTCACTAGTATCAGGTTTTTCCAGTGCAGCTTAAAGGATAGCTTTATTACTGAACATACTCAGTAACTTTTAAAATATTTTGATCATAATGCAGGTGAAGCATCTGAACTTCTATGATGTTGTTCTGGACTTTATATTAATGGATTCCTTTGAAGATTTAGAAAATCCACCTATGTCTATACAGAATGTGGTTAACAACCATTGGCTGAATTCCTCATTTAAAGAAACGGCAAGTGTCTTACTTTGATGCTTCCATGCTTTGAAAGTTACTATACTCCCCTGTGCACTTTTACATGTAGAAGAAATTGTTGGTTTCTGATGCCTTTGTTGTCAAGCAGTTTGTAATATAATGATTGGTCTTAGTCCTTTCCAAGATTGCAAATCTGTTCAAAAACTAAATGTAAAACTTGGTTCTACATACCTGCAAGGATTAATACTTTGTCTAAGAAAAGATAATGTCCACATGTATAGAAATGTTTCAGTCCTTTTATCAACATGGCAAAATAGCTTTAAAAAGGAAATCAGCACAGTCAGTTTGACTACCTGTGCCCGTATTATCAGAGAGTGATATATATCGTAACTGGGCCAAGCTACTTTTTCAGAAGAGAAGAGATAATTAAAATATGTAGGTTGATGGTTGACATTGAGGCTTACTTAGTGAGCCAGCCAGTATCAAAGCGCAGATACAAATTTCTGCAGGATATGTGCTACCTATCTCATTTTGTGAAGCTTGTAGCTGTACTTCATTGTGTGTTTTCTTCTGCTTTTAAATGTTTTGCTTTTTTCTACTGATGTTTTGAATTTGTGTAGATTTTCAAGGGTTTTCAGTGCCTTATTGTAGATCACCTGAAGAAAAATTTGTTCTTCCTCATGATCTTGTTTCTCTGGCTGCCATTGGCTCCATAAGTCTTCTAGTTATGGCAGGATCCCATGTCATGGGGGCTCCTTTTGGATTGGGGATTTTAATACAATATTATGAATAGAGATGGGCACTTTGTACTTCACACAAATTTGTACATTTTTTTCCTGAAGTTGGAGTGAATAGGCGAACCCTGTAATTGGCCAAAATACTTGCTCCCCACTTTAGCAACCCTACATACACCCTCAAAACCTATTCCGGTAGGCTGAGAAACCTTTTGAAACAGGGAGAGGGTGAAGCAGCATAATCCTAGCAAGTCAGTTGCTAGGTGTCAAGGAATAGCATAATTTGGACTGTAGAAACATTACTAGTATTACAAAGATTATTCTGTATTTGTTCACCATCTGTTTACATGCAGAAACCTTCTTGAGGAAGGCAGCACTGGCTGAGTATGGTTATGTTCAGTCGCAGCTTAAAGTACACAGATACTGCATATAGATTTTTTTTCTGGCTTCTTAAAATTAGCTTTATTTGTGCCTTATACTTATTGGAAACCATACAACTCAAATCACTCTTCTGCCATTTTTATATTTCATCGTTTATGTGCTGTGTCAGTCACAGGAAAAGGTAGGGGTTTTTAAACATGTGAGCCAGTATCTTCTTGAAATTATCATGCATGCAATTATATTCCCACAAGCAGTTCACCATTTGGTGCTGTGTCTGGTGTGCAGTTGCATGACCAGCACTACACTGCAAATCACTAGCATAATCACTTGTTGCATGTCTGGTCATTTCAACAAGATACTAAGCATGGGATTTTTCAGATTTTTGGACTACAGATCCCATTATTCTCTATTCTGGCAGTCTCATCTAACGGACGCCTACAGTACCTAAATATGATCCACCTGAGAGAAGCATCTAATGTGGAAAGCTTTGTGTCCTAGTTAAGCTGGCTCTTTCTAGATTTGTGCAAAAAGAACTTGTCCTGTTGCTAGCTCAGAGCTTCTTGCAAACTTGGGGAAGCTGAAGAAGATAAAGGAAATGGGTAGGAGGATCTAAGATTTGTAGGAACTGCAAGGGATTAGGAGACTGATAGATTTTTAAAAGGCATCCTTATGGAGTCTAAAGGGCAGAGACGTTACCAGTACCTAAACCCTTGCAGCTCCCATGGAATTTAGAACCTCCCACCCATTTTCTCTGTCTTCTTCATAGGAACACATTGGCTGGCGGAGGCTTCATTCTTCAGATGCAAGTAATTGAAAACTCATGTGAGGACTTTAATTTCTTGGCTAAAGCTCTCCAGGATTCTGGCTGGGGGGGGGGATTCCTGGAGAATTCTGAGAACTGAAGTCCAAGAATTTCACAAGTCTCATGCCTATGTCTTTCCTTTGTGAAAAGAGAAAAGAAAGAAAAAAGTCTCTCAGTTTGTCTCTTTAGCTTCTTATATTCATTCTCTGCTCCCCACTCCTGCATAACGTCTCCTAATTGTGACCTGTACTAATCAGTTTTGTATGTGTGATCTGGTTGTGCATGGTGGCTTTCTTCCTTCCATGTGCCAGACTGGGGGGAAAAACAGAGACCAACCCCTTGGATGACTTTGATCCTTTCAGCCCAGTTCCCAGTGGCCACATCCAGATGATGCATGAAATGTCAGTTCCCAGTCTTTCACAAGTGGCCACATCCAGATGATGCATGAAATGCAGTACAGCTTAATTCATTAATAGTCAACAATGGCTGTAGCTATTCACACGAGAAAGTGAGATCACTCTATTATTTTACTTATCAGAATAGTAACAATTATGTGTGGCATAGTGGAAATGTCCTGTTCTATTTCCACTGTTACAGCCTTATGGATTGCACTTGAGGGTACATCCAAATCCCGAAACTCTCTGTGAATGGAAGCAACTATGTCTGTCCTTCCTTTACTACACAAACCTCTTTTCTTATGCACTGAAGTACATCATTGTTTCATTTACCGTATGTCGCCCCCCCTCTAGTTTTTCTTAGGAGAAATCAAATCTGGCAGTTTGGCAAAAGACCCAGCTCTTTCATGATACTGTCTTACTTTCAGTAAGTGTGTGTGGGGAGGAGGGAGGGAAGTAAGATTTAGGGAGGGCTTTTTAAAAAACAGTTTATATTGTAGAAAATAGTGTGTGTATAGGAAAAGATACACTAAGGATTGCATGAGGATTTATTCAAAATCTTATCATTATGCATGAGTTGTGCTTGAGATGGACCTCACAACTTCCGCATTTAAGTTCGATTCCTACAAATTAACACTTGCTTTCACTTAACACTGTTGCACATGGCTGCTGTGGCAAGTATGTGTGGTGAGTTCACAGGTCTTTCCCAGTTTGTCAGCATATTACTGGAAAAAAAAGGTGTGAAGAAAATTTATGTGATTAGTCTCACACACCTAAGTAAAATATCCACACAGGTGTTTCTGACAGTATAAGTAGCAGCTGCTATAAGTATGTATGAAATGTATATACGCAAAACATACATGGCTCGTTGCACCTGCAAAGCTGCCTTGGGAGAGAGTCACAAAACCTGTTCTTGTCAAGAGAAACTGATGTTTACTGAATGTAGAGCATGCGTAGCCATAAAATGAAATGATGAAACAGAACATTGAGAGGAAAGCTGCCATATGATACTCTGAGCCCGTGGGTTACGGCACAATGTGAATGGAACCAAATAATTAAGTACATCATAGCGACAAATGTAGTTCATTTCTTACAGTTGTGTTATATAATACCACCAAAAGAAAAAGAAAAAAAGAAAAAAGTAAAAGATAAAACTCCCATGATGAGGCCAGTATTCTGCTGTTAGTCGCAATTAGAGTCAACCCACTGAATTAGTGAAGTTTATGTCAGTGTTGATGCATCATTCAGCAGTTGATTTAGTGGGAATATTTTAGTTAGGAGTAGCAATAGGATTTAGGCCAAAATGTTATAAAGTGAAGAGAAAATATTAGGTAGTTTTGTATTACAGTTGTATATAAATAAGAAATATTTAAGGTGGGCTTTTTTGTTCCTATTTAGGCTGTGGCTTCCAGTTGCTGGTCAGTCCTAAAACAGAAAAAGCAAAAAATGAAAGTGAGTAACATTTGATTTTTATATTCATAGAAATAGTGGTCACCATCAAGTGCTATAAATTATGACATGGACTTCAGTTGCGAGGAACATATTCGATTGTGATAAACGATAGACATCAGCAACGTGAAAAGAAAGGTATAAGATGAATTATTATCAAGGTGCAGTGAAGCAACTTTGCATTCACTGTAAAATAGTTCATGGTTAAATTGGGGCTACAGTGATCAAGATCAGGTTCCCACTGGTGGTACTTAGAGGGTTTGCTGGTAAGTACCATGAGTTTACTAGTTAATATTCCACCTAGTTACATGTTTGCCAACAAAATAACTATTGGTCTGTTTCCTGTCAAATTATACTATATTAAATTCGTATGTTATCCATGTTACAATGACTTGATGAGGTTATGTATAGAAGGTCTTCTATTTATAATGTTATGGGAAGGATGCCCAAATATTTAACATATTTATGTAAGTAATTCTTGTGAAAAGAAAAAGATGGTGGTATTTTAATCCAAAGAATAAATCAGTGTGTGTAGACCTATATTTATACAAAACATCAGTTGGGAAAAGAGTAAAACACATCCAACTTGTCTTATTGCAGGGATGGGCAAAGTGCAGTCCGCATCTGCCTACATCTCCAAATGTAAGCAGCTCCCCTATCCCCTTTTTTTGCCTTTTAATTTTGACACCTAAAGTTCTCTTATTCCTTTGAACAGTGCCAGCCCACCCATTGGCTTAACCAGTGCAGTCGCCTCAGGTGGCAGAACATCAGGAGTGGTGGCAAAGCTGCTGCCATCAGTTTTCCTGCTACAACCAACTTCTTTTTTTCTTCTTTTGTTTCGTCTGTTTTTGTTTTGAGGTGATTTTGTCATCTTTGGGCCATTAAACACTGTCCATTTGTAGTTGTTATTAAATCTGGCCACTGAGGAACATGGGGGTGTTTTTCCACAAAAAAAATGTTTTTAAAAGCAAAATGTTTTGGGTTGGCCAATGTGCAAGTGTGGGCAAAAGGTTCTGGGGTCTAGGATGGACATGTGTAACCCTTGGACTTTGGGAGATTGCCCATCCATGCTTTACTGAATCACTTACTTTGTAGAAAGTGTGGGGGGGGGGCTATAATACAGCAAAAGACTAGCAGAAGGTTTTTTTGCAAGTAGTCCTCTATATATCAGGTGTTCTCAAAGGGGGGGGGAATATGTGGTCCCCCGGGGGGTCCTGCCACACTTGACGGGGGCCACAGACTGGAAGCAATTCCTCACACACTACCTTAAAAGGTTCACTATGCAACTTATACAATCCACTATGCAACTTATACAATCCAGATTCTGCCTATATGTCATTCGTATTTTGTTTATGGCCATGAGAAGGTTCAGAATGGCTGTTATATGACTACTTAGAAATAAGGCTCACTCCTTAATGGGACTGATTCCCAGATGAGTGGGTATAGGATTTCCATCTTAATTGTCTGAATAATTAGAAAAGAGACTCTTTTAAGTTTTGTGGTATTTCTTTAAGTTAGTTATAGGATAGCAGCTTTAGGTCTAAATCCTATATTGTACTAACTCTTAGTATTGGAACATTCTTCCCAACTCAGTTACCCCAAACATGTTCTAGAGATTTCCCCACCTCTCTAGAACAGATTTCAAAGTGCAGAAGAGGGCTGTGGTGTTTGAGGAAGATTGCCTTCACATGATTGATTATGCTGTCAATTATTAGCAGTCATCACTCTTTGAATTTAAGCCAAGATGGCTTTCTTTGGTGTAACAATTGTTGACATTGTTCTTAATCAGTCATTAACAATTGCTAATTTTATTTCTAGGTTCCTGATGGTTTCTTTGCACACTTCTATAGTATTTGTGAGCACATTAGTCCTGTTCTGGCATGGGGCTTTTTGGGCCCTAAAAATTCTCTATATGAGTTATGCAGCTTCTTCAAGGTAGGTTACTTCATTAGGTTAAAAAAGCCTCTTGTGTACCAATGAATTAATGAATGTGCAAAATTACAAATAAATTCTTCTGTAATAACTTTCTGAACCTGCAGGTTATAGTAAATAACTGAGTTTATTTTGCATTTCTTTTCTTTTAAAACTAGGATCAGGTTCTTTATTTCCTGAAGGACATTTTCGACTTTGAAAAAGTACGATATTCAACTCTAGATCATTTAGTGGAAGACCTTGTGCAGTTGCTGATTCGTCACACTGAACTTCTCCTGGCTTATCTTGGAACTGACTCCCTAAGGCATGTCAGTGGCTATGTTGGTGGATGTGAACATCCCATGTCCAGTGGCCTTTTGGAAGCAAAAGTGCTATAGGCCCCTTTTTTTGCTCTTAACACAAGCACAATCTTTTGCCTTTTTCTCCCTCAAGGAAAGCTGCCGTTGCTTCTAGTCCTTTTTGAGGAAGTACATGAAAATCCACAATGTTGTTAAATATGGTCTCAGGGTGGTTTAAAAATATGGAAATCAATGCTTAAAATATTACTGTAAATATCTACAAAGGGCCAGCTCAGTTGTCATTGGATTTATATGTAATATATGCCAACTTTTTAAAAGTAATTATTATGTTAAATTTGTTGGTAGATCTTGCCACAGATAAATTGTCTAATTATTATGTTAAATTTATTGGTAGATCTTGCCACAGATAAATTGTCACTGAAAGTGTGATTAAGGATATACCTTATAGAAAATATGTTTATCTCAAAGGTTTACATTGTACAGTATGACTCAGTACAAAGTATCAAAAGCTCTACCTGGCTATGTGTTTGCCAAGTTATGCAGCTTATTTTGTTTTTGTCAAGCGACATGTGCAATAAAATATCATGTAGAATGGCAAATGAATCCAGTTCGGCTTGACATTTTCTGTCCATTTTCTATCATTTGTAAGGTAGCAAAATTAATGAATCCATTTCATTGTGAGGCAAAAATGACATTCTTTAAGCATTATAACAACATGTAAGTGCTAATTCATATGCTTTTATGTAAACTACTCTTCACTGATGTCTTCTTTTGTGAAATCAAGAGTCTGGTCAAGCCTTAAAATAGTTTTACATTTTATTTGGTTGTTAGTAATTAAGACAATTAATTAATGGTTTAATTCCTTCCCTGTTTGGAGAGCTTTTAAAACTTTATACTAGTTACGAATAAGCTATGATAATGTCTTGTTGATTGTAGCATTTAAAAAATATTTTTAAGGAAAAGAATATATGTCAAAAAAGGTAATAGTGCAACAGAACAAAAAAACATAAATATTTGTTCCTTTGTTGTTATATATTTGTCTTTTGTCTTTCTTCCAAAAATCTGGGATTCTATCTGGATGAGTACTCCAGTGCTCTGTACAAAACAAAAAGTTGTCCCTTAAAGTACTTCTGAAAGCTTCACACTTGAATCATGTAATTATGGATTGCTGCAGGGTTCTACAACAGAACTTGATCATTCGTAACAGAACACTTCCTGCTTGTCTGGTCTAGTGTGCTGACTTGCCATTGCTCTCTGGTGCTGCATGTTCTTACAGAAAAGCCCCTATATGACCAGCTGTTTTAAAAGAATCTTCTTTGTAAAGAAGATGGGATTGCCAACTGTTGCTTGCAAAAAGCGGGAGGCAGCCCTTTCTGGTTTATTATTAATACTGCATTGCACTGTTAAATTTGTACAAGAAAGACTTGAAATAGTAAATGGAACAGTGCTCCTGTAGGTATTCTGCTTCTCTTTCACTAGCATCTTTATTTAGTTTGATGTTTTAGAATATTCACACCCCTCTTTTTATTCTCCAAATATGGGCCATAGCATCTCCATAAATTACAGCCAAAAACAATAAAACATATTTGCAACAAATTTTCTTATCCATAATAAAACCAACAAACTTTTCAAAAGCCAGCTAGTAAAACCAATTCAAAATGCCTGTTAATCCATCAGTCATCAATATGCAAGCATCAGACAATATGCAAGCAAATACCATTACAAAAAAAAATCTGATCAGCAAATCACCATAAAAATTTCTCAGAAGAACGGGCTAATACACTTAAGCCATTGGAAAACAGGGTGACCAAAATTAGGGAGGAAGCTCAATGCATTTAATATTCAACCTGAATGATTTGTTTAGCTGCTGCTTCTTAAAATTTCAATAATACATACTTTGTGTTCTCAAAGGCTTTCACATCCAGGCCCCAATGGTCGTTGTGGGTTTTTCGGGCTTTTTAGCCGTGTTCTGGAGGTGGTTCTTCCTAATGCTTTGACAGTCTCTGTGACCGGCATTTTCAGAGGACCGGAGCTAGACTTCTGCCAGCCTCGTGACGCAGTGGTTAAACTGCTGCACTGCAGCCAAAACTGTGCTCACAACCTGGGGGTCAATCCCAGGTAGCTGGCTCAAGGTTGACTCAGCCTTCTATCCTTCTGAGGTCAGTAAAATGAGTACCCAGCTCGCTGGGGGGGGGCAGTGTGTAGCCTGCATAATTAACTTGTAAACTGTGCAGAGAGTGCTTGAAGCACTATGGGGCGATATATAAGCAGCACGCTTTGCTTTGCTTTGTTCTGGTGTACTGTGTGGGATTGTTGTTAGGTGAAACGTTAGAAAGAAAACCCCACAACAAACATCATACTTTGTTAGCACATATTAAAAGGGTGATAAAGCTCACTTTAATCTATGGCATGCTGATCAAATATTAGCTGGATTAAGATGGAGATATCAAAGTCTCATTCAACTGAAAACTGGACTACATTTTATTAAAATGTTAAAAAACACAAAAGTAATGGTTTGGCACAGAAACACCTTAGTTCGAATAGGGTGGCTAACCCTACATCCTGTGTCCAAATAAGTAGAGTCAATTAAGCAGTACTTGTGCCTAGTTTTATAAACCCTAAACTTTCTATGATAACTGTTGTAAGTTCAATACATTGTTTGGTGTAAGTGTGGGGAATCCAACCCATGGTCCTGATCAAGCCTACACATTATTCCCTGCTAGTGCCATGAACTCTTTCAACCAATGTGTGTAGTCTTCTTTCGAGGCTGCCTGCTTGGCAGGTTATTATCAGTAGCAGATTTTGTTCGCTAGTTTAAAACTTGGCTTCAGCTTGATAGAACATCAATAGCACTGAAGCACGCAGTTCCATTTTGAAGGATCTGAAATGCCACTCCCTTATTGTGAGAAAACTAATCAAGCACCTTGGAGTAGCTTTGGGCTCGATCACATGTGAGAAAATAATTATATTGATTCATTTTATTCCTCTGTTTTACTGATACTTTTTTGCAGTCATGTATATATATATTGGTGGAAGCATTTTCATTGTTTTTAACTGTATTGATTTGTTTCTTTCTATTTGAAACATTATTGCAAACTACACTGCTCTTTAATTTTGTTTTGATTCGTATTCTCTACTATTTCTTGGGGCAATTAGGACCCCATTGTCCTGTTTAATAAAGATGATATATTGATTAAGCTTCTATCCTCCCCTTTTTCCTTCCCTCTTTTATTCACTCTTCCTCTTTTTCATTTTTCTCCCTCTTAGTTCTTGGCTTTCATTTTTCTTTCCCCGTTTTTCTTTTCTCTTTTGAACAGCATGAGGAGGAAGCAGGTTTTAAAAGGCTTGCAAAATATTGTGAGGAGCAGGGGGTTTAAAAAAATCCAACACTCGTTTCCTTATAGTTCAATGCAGGAAATCTCAAGCTCTCTTTCACCTGCAAGGTGGGGGAAGGCTGTCTCCCTCTGAACAATGTATTCTTGTTGTTGTTTTTGTGGCTGCAGTGGTTGCAGCTATGGCTGCTACTAGTGATTTATCAATAGTTCTTTTTAAAAAAAATTTAAAAGGTACAAGCACTGTGGCCATGAAATATCCATTGTGCCCAGAAATTCAATCCCTTTGCAAAGGAAATAAATGGACAGCAATGTTCACACACACTAAAACGATAAGGAATGAAGTGATCGTTGTTGTAGGTTTTTCGGGCTGTTTGGCTGTGTTCGGCTAAATAGTCCAAAACAACTGCAACAACCCTCAGATCCCCACCATTAAAGCCTTTGAGAATACAATGAAGTGATACATCATCATTACAATTTAACACAACCCTCCTGGTGAGGGGAAAATAAACTGATTGTTGTGGCAAATTGATCGATGATGGTCATGCATCACATGAATGGAAAATTATGAAACTATAAATAATGGCCAAATTGGTATAACTGGGGTTCTTTTGGCAGGTGTGATTGAGCTTTGTTAACTATGTATTCTGAACTCAAGGATCCGTTCAAAACTTACGTTAAAGTTTTGCAATGCAAGATACTTGTTTGGCAGCACAAACCAAAATAGGATCAATGAGGGTCAGACCACACTGCAAGACAGCAGAGTATTTCTGTCTTCAGGCTATGCATGATTTTCAGTGCTATGTACCTAAGACAACAAATACTCTCAACAAAATCTTGCCATCTTGTAACTGACCAGTTAGAAAATAAAAGCTGACTAAATAGCCAACCTTGACTTGATGCAAGCTTGTGTTAGAGCAAATATCTTATGAATGCACTGCTTTCAAATATAGAATTGGCATCTCCTCTAGTCAGGCCCTTACTGTGGCATCCCACTGTTAACGCATGATTCATTATTATCCTTTTCACTTGAAACCTATGCTGATGTTTTGCAATGGCACTAGCCGCCCTGTGCCTTGCTCAAAATTGTGCTGCTGAGAACTGTGTGACTGACAGTTCCAATTAGGGTTCCTAATTAGCCACACACACACATCCAACTTTGTCCTTTTAATTCAAAATGAGATGTCAGATCTGGCTACAGTGACACATGCCTCAGTTACATCCTGTTTGGGTTACTGTAACACGCTCTATGTGGGGCTTCCTTTGAAGACGGTTTGGAAACCAGCTGGTGCAAAACTCTGCAGCCAGACTACTGATTGGGGCCCAGCTACAGGTAGTAAATAATGCACGTGTTACAAGAACTGCACTGGGTACCAGTCTGGTTCCAGGCCCAATTCAAAGTGCTGGTCATTACCTATAAAGCACTATACTGTACAGCTTGGGTCCAGGCTACCTGAAGGACCGTATCTCCCTTTATATGAGCCTTCTTGGCAATTAAGATCAGCAGAGCCGGCCCTCCTCTCTGTCCCATTGCCAGCGCAAACACAGCTGATGGGGACACGGGAGAGAGCCTTCTCTGTGGCAGCTCCCAGGCTATGGAACACTCTGCCTCAGAAGATCAGGATGGCCCCTTCCCTGTTATCCTTCTGAAAAAAGCTAAAGACCCATCTCTGCAGGTAGGCTTTTAACAGTTATAACTGAATCCCTGAACATCATTTTAGCTGATAATTTTAATCTTTTTTGTTTTCATGTTTTAACCTTTAAGTATTTTTTAATTCATATATTGTTTAATTTATCTTTTAATATTTTACTTATTGTGTTTTTAAATTGTGTGAATTTTAATGTAAGCCACTTGGGCCCCTTGTTGGGAGAAATGCAGCACATAAATAAAACTAATAAAAATAAAATAAAATGTATGACAATGTTTTGTGCTGATTATGCAGCATAAACCCTGTGTTTTATAGTACCACTCAAAACTAAAATACACAAACACCATGACCAAGGTAGAACAACTGCACCACTGCAGATG